CGCAAAGATCTGAGTGGCACTGCCACCGGGCCCGTCAACTTGAAACAAGTTAACAAGTCCCATGTGCCTGTAATTTTACCAGCACCCTTCCCCTTTAAAACCGGAACGCAGTAACGGTCCTATTACTGCTTGGCGACAGAAACAGGCAGTACTTAGCTGGTCGAACGCTTTCACTGGGACTTCTACCGCTACTAAAAATATGCTGTAGAGGACTATTCACATTAGACCGTGCCGGACGCGAGCCGAAACACGTACGAGACTCGAATTGGAAATGCAGCGTACATTTTATATGAAGTGATTCACATTACAACACACAGCACTATGCAACCATAGACAAGTCATAGAAGTATAGATGAAAAATAACCTCAATTTTGAATTTTTCAAATACGATTTTACAATGTTATTCAAATGAATATTGTTACACACGGTAGAACACGGACGAGGGACGCCCGAGCTGCGTTCGAGCTCTTCCGAACCTCGAATAAATCTAAGTCTAATTTAAGTCTCCTCGTAATTTAAGATCGTGCGGAACGTATGAGGCTCGGATGACTCGGACACGGCTCGCGCGCGGCACGGTCTAATGTGAATCTTCCTTAAATCTGCATCTTCTTCAGTGCAATGGGGACATCGTGCATTACAGAGGGTATTTATAGTATTCTGATGAGTCGGAACCAGACAGAAGCCAAGTCTTGCATTACAAAAGAAGACATGATATTGGCACTGTTACAAGTCACTTGTATTTATTTGTTTATCTTTGAGGGATAACAAACAATTATTTGTACGTGGTATGTTTACATTACACTCAACAACATTATCCACAAATTGCTGTGTAACGGGTAAGGCTACACTAAAACAAGTAAAAGGTGAAGCAATAGCGTTTACTGGCCGAGTGAAGAAATGTATTTCTCACAGATGGCGTTTTGTCAATAGTAAGCCGTTAAAAACCAAAAACAAACATCTGATAAAGATCTGACAAATTTTTTTATAGCTCTTGCAGGTAGTCTCTATCGATGTTTGAAATTATGGTCTATTCCACTAGTCCCTACCAGCTGTCCCCCCTGATGAGGACAAGTAGATTTTTAACCGACTTCAAAAAAGGAGGAGGTTCTCAATTCAACTGTATGTTTTTCTTTATATGTATGTTACGCGATAACTCCGGTATTTGTGAACCGATTTTCATGATTCTTTTTTTGTTGGAAAGGGGGTACTTCCATAGTGGTCCCATTTCATTTTGAAGAAAATCAACCACCTCTAAGGGTGGCCGTTCACGCATGAAGATTCATTTTTATAAATAGTGCCTAAATTTTACTTGAGGAGCAATTATTTTAATGGTTGATTTTGCTATTTCTCCAATTCAAGGCGTTCTCTCAATATACTTTGAGTAGTGATAACCGATTTTTATTATCTCCAGTGTCAAGTCCTGTATAGTGGCGAATTTAAGGATATTTCAATAAAACTTAGCAAATAACCGTAATTCCACGTACTTTTGAGGTCGGTTTTTTTAGTACTCTGTACTGTGATTATTTTTCCTTTTTTCCCTACCACACCGTCACTGGTTGGGATAAGTGGAATTTCATTTCCACTTACCCCTACCCAACCATTTCTATAAGTGCAGTCCAGAATAAAACTATATCAATGAAAAGTATAACTATTATTTAAAAACGTGGTATTTATTACCTGTTAAGGGCGCCTTCAGATTAGACGCGTCTGTGGCGTGGCAGCCGTGCCACTACTAAATTTTCATACAATATCTAGTGTGCAAATGTGGCACTGCTGCTGCGCTTCTAAATATTGTATGAAAACTGCAGCTGCGCTTCTATAAGCGTCTGATTTGAAGGCACAATAGTATAAAAACATACATATAAAATGCATAATCTGGGACTAAGTCGTACAAGATATACAAATGCGGCTAATGAACGGGGACATTATTGTTGGGCTATTCTTGGAAAAATCACGTTAAATTATCGTTTATTCGCAGTAGGAACATTTTTCGTGATATCAAGTGGGACGAACGGGACGAACAACAACGACGACATTCATCGACACTCATTTTAACTACCTCATAATAATATAACATTCATAATAATACGACATTCATTTTAACTACCTCCGTGGCCGAACGGTTACCATACCGGACTGCCACGCAGAGATATTTGTATGGCCTACAATTAGGTATTTCTCTCGGCAGTTTGGGTGTAATTTGTGGTTGTCTATGTGTGTGTCCATGGTACCCGCGACACAGGGTTTCCCTAGTGCGGGGCTATGTTGAGTGTGTGCGTTATTATTATTATTATCGACATACATAAAAAATGGCGAAATCGCCAAAAGTCTTCAGGTTCATATTGACTGTTATTTCTTCATTATTTTATCGTAACTCAGTCAATAAAGAGATCTTATACCCACCAGCTACAATTATCTATCAAAAAGACGTTACTGTGAATATTTAATTAGATATTTTTGTCGAAACTGTACTGTACACGTCAAGAGATTTTATTGATTTAGTTGCAATAGAGTTCCTTGTGAAGAGTTCATCCAGGGAAGTACTACCACATTATCTATTTTTGCCGCCAAGCAGTAATGTCAGCATTACTGCGTTCCGGTTTTGAAGGGTGAGGGTGCTATTGAAATTACAGGCACGTGGGACTTGTCAACTTATGTCTCAGGGTGACAGGCGCAGTGGCAGTGGGCTTCAGATCTTTGCGACTTAAAGCGCTGAGTGGTACTGCAATTATTATGGACATGAGTGTTGCTTACCTTCAAGCGCAAGACTTGTTCGTCTCGTAACGTGAAATTCCTCTTATCCCAACCAGTGACGGTGTGGTAGGGAAGAGTGGAAAAATAATCTCAGTACAGAGTACTAAAGCTCCGCACACGTTAATTATCATAAATATTATTATGTCAAAAGTGTAACAACAGCTGTTTGTATAATTTTTTACACTCATTTTGTTCCACTTCATTAGTTTTATAGAATAATTTTCACGGTTCGTTAGTAAGCAAACCCTGACCTAGCGTTTTGTCATGGTCAAAGTGTTTACATTGTGGTTATAAATTATTTTAATTTGCTTAATGTTTATTGTTTAACTTACGACCAGGAACTACACTTTTTTTAGGAAATGAAACTTTGACTTATTTGACTTTGAAACCAACGCATGGGCCCTTTACGTGCTCCCACCCATTGAACCCCTACCGACTGAGTTAAGCCCTAGATGCACCGGTCGCGGCCACTAGTGTAGCTAGAAATCGTCCATTTCCAAGGCAAGGCTGACTGCTTTCACATAATAGTGCGCAAAAATTGTCCAAAGTGCGTGCCAGCCCCAATATTGTCCTGGCCATGATACGTGGAAGGCTAGATTGCCCTTATATCCGGCACTGTTGTAATAAAATCATAAACAAACATGCCCGCTATGGTGCCGGGTATGGCGACAATCGATATAGGTATTGGATTCGATATGGGAATTTAGTGTTGAAAAACAAGTTACTATAATTATTTTTTTTTTTAGTTAATATAATTGTTTTTTAGATAGCATAAGGTTTTTCTTACCTAGACCTTAGTGCTTCCGGTAAATTGTTGTAAATTTTTGGCGCCATTACAAAAATACTTTTCTGCATGAAGGTAGTTTTACAGAGGCTTTCACTTCCTTCCGCGTTTGCATAAAAAACCCTAACTTAACCTAAATAATCCAATTCGTTTCTACCCAGAGGGACTTTCGCGATTGTAATTTAAAACACCTAACAATCTTTATATACAACAACATAAATACGCAGTAAAAACACTCTGTAAATGGCTAAAACGCTTACCGTGAAAAGCCAAGAGAGATAAGAAAAAAACAAACGCGACAAATGACGTTGCGTTTTAATGTTGAAATTACGAAATTGTTATTGAATTATCATTACTATTTCAAAGTAACCTTCTTAAGGAATAATATTTTAAATATAATGTAAATGCTATTCAATGAGAATAGTGTTGAAAAAACCAATAAAACATAATGTGTTCAAAATTTAAACAACACATGATATAATGCGAATGAAATTGCGTCAGCGTGCTTTTTTGACATAATTTTCGCATAGGTAGTTGTCAAATGCATTTTTTCCTTTAATTGTCGCTATTTTCAAAATCTCGTAATCCTTTGGCGTCCTAAAACTGAAAATTTGTGGAGGAGTTCCTTTTGACTAGGTCTACCTCCAAAATTAATTACACCCAACTCGACGTCACGTATATTAAAGTCGGGGCCATTATAATAAATGTTGTAAATGACAAATGTATACAAATGCTTATCTACCAATACTTATTGCCGTAGAATTTATTGTAGATTCCTCTCAGAAGAACTTAAAAACAAACTAACCCTTATGACTCTTTAGAGGTCCCATGATCAAATCAAATCATTTATTGTGTACGCACGTCTATAAGGTCTTATTTAACATTGTTGTGTCAGTACGTATTGCCAATTTTACGGCATACAATTTACATAATTAAATTAATTTAACAGTATACTACTACATTTTAATTACAAAATGTCAAATCTTAATTTAAATTTAAATTCTTAATTATATTTATGTCATTATTTTGTGGTGGTTAACTATTATTCTATGTTCTTGTCATTTAAGTAATCGCTGACTTTATAATATGCTTTCCCAGTCAATAAATTAAATAATCGCTTTTTGAAATTGGCATTGTCGTTAGTCTCAAGTATATAATTAGGCAGCTTATTGTATAGTTTTGGCGCCATCGCACAAATATTATCATGAAAGAGGGTAGTCTTACAGGCAACCAGTTTCAATTTATTGTGTCTTCGTGTACTTTCCACCTTGCTGAAGAGTGTGAGATTTCTCCGAACAAAAAGAACCGTTTCAAATATATATATTGAAGGAACTGTTAATAATCTCAGTTTTTGAAATTGCTGTATACAGCTGTCCATACTCACATACATAATCACTGACTGTTATATTGTACATTTTGATAGATAACAAAAATCATAATAATATATGTTTAATCTTTCCAGCCATGCTACACTCGGAACTGGGAACTCCAAGTGCAGTTCAAAGTGCACGGGAAAGGCAAAGAGCTGTTCGGTGACGGCCTTGCGCTGTGGTACGTCAGAGATCGGATGCAAGGTGGACCCGTGTTCGGCAGTAAAGACTACTTCCATGGCTTGGCTATTATATTGGATACTTACAGCAACCACAATGGAGCTCATAATGTAAGCTTTGTTATGTATTAGTTGGGAATTTACCACAATCAAAGCCAGTCCTCTAATCAGAACGAAAAGGAAGTGTGCGTCAACGATCCGAGCGCAAGAGAGAAGCACATTTTTTTTCTCTTTTCCATAGACATAAGGCGGTAAATAAAAAATTACTAACGAGGGTTCTTTGATGACTCGAGGTTTGTAGTTTTTAACCGCCCATGCGACTTACAATGTTTTTCATCACATTTGCGAGGAAATAGATACAACGATAATATATTTCTTGTATGAATAAATATCGCTTCATAAATTTTGCAAATGACGGATTTTTTTTTAAACATTACCAGCTATTCTTCCATAGATTCGAACTAAAATGTTATAAAAGTCATAGAACGCATGCAACTACAATATATTAGATATAAAATAAATAATTTCCAAATACTGCAGAATTTGAATTCACAAAATAAATTCAGTAAAATGTAGTTAAATTGCAAATGTTGAGTTTTTTTTATGGTTCAAGTTTATGAGAAATATGCGTTCAGATTTTTCGAGCATTAAAACTTTTTGCTTTATCTTGACGTAAAAAATCCATAAGGCGATAATGTAATGAAAACGCTTGGCATAATTTAGGACATTATGGTCGAGTTTGCCTGCATGTCATGCCACTGTTTACGAGCAAGTGTTATGAAAAGCTTTAGCTGACCACCTCAAGCCGATTTCGCCTTAATAAATATGGTGGCTACCTTTTAAGCACACTGGTTATTACGTCCTGAGTCCTCAGTGACAGGACGAGTAAGTCGCCTGGTGCTAAGCGACAGGCCAACTTGTAACAGTTGCAATACCACTCGGAGCTTAAAATCGCAAAGACCTGTGGGGCTTTGCCACCGCGCCCATCGCTCTCATACATAAAGTTGATGAATTCCATATGCTTGTAGTTTCACCATCACCAACACCATTCAAAACCGGAACGCAGTAATGTTCACATTACTGTTTGGCGGCAGAAATAGTTATGATATGTTCAACCAGATGGAGGTGAAATGCGAACTTATTATTCATACAGGATTTTTTTATGCCAGGTGACGGGACGAACAAGTCGTGCGCCTGCTGGTAAGCGACACGCCTGTCCATAGCAGTTGCAGTGACATTCATAACTTTAAAATCGCAAAGATCTGAAGAATGAGTCACCTTGAGACATTTGTCAGGATGATCTATAGTATCTATTTAAATATGTATATGTATGTTACAGCACCAGCACCCGTACATCTCCGCGATGATAAACAACGGGTCCCTTCATTACGACCACGACCGCGACGGCACTCACACGCAGATCGCGGGTTGCGAGGCTAAGTTCCGGAATTACAACCACGACACGCATCTCTCTATCGTTTATAAGGATGATACACTTATTGGTTAGTACTAAAACAACTTACTATCTGTTGATACTTTTGGTTAAATTGTAAACCTTTATGAATTTCAAATAATAATAATAATAACGCACACACTCAACATAGCCCCGCACTAGGGAAACCCTGTGTCGCGGGTGCCATGGAGACACACACATAGACAACCACAAATTACACCCAAACTCACGAGAGAAATAAATGTAGGTCATACAAATATTTCGCCCGGCCCGGGAATCGAACCTGGGACCTCTGCGTGGCAGTCCGGCATGGTAACCGTTCGGCCACGGAGGCAGAGAGGCCTCCTGTGAGGCTCGAAAGCTGTGTCAGGGTAGAGTAAGGTGGCGTTCCGTGGTCTCGTCCTACCTATCCAAGGGCGTGAGCTTCTGTATGTATGTTCTCTTGTACTTTTTAATTTGTCAATTATATTTCATAAACCATATCACAAAGGCGCTCTTTATAGTTCTGAACCAAAATTCTATTGTCTATGGTACTCGCTCTAAACTGATTTCGTTATAGTTTTGTACACAGAACTATAATGTGTTTCAAAAAAAGAACGTCGTATTTTTGGTAATTAAAATATCAAGTATGACGCTACTCAAAACGCAATACTGTGTCCACAACCTAAATTTTAATTCGTGTCGACCTTGATGAAGGAAGGGTTTTGACCGAAGGGTGTCGTATATCGGCGATTCCGCGGCCGGTTTCCCGACACCAGATACGTGGAGATTAGTTATTTGTTTTATTATATTGTATGTATGTTAGTCCTTAAGGTATATATTATATGGGTCATGTGGCCTGAAATAAATGTCTAAACAAATAAATAAAATATTAGAGTAACTTGGCCAATCACGAACACTGTATCTCTTTGGTTTTTGTTTTGTAGCGATTGGCTTTGGTTGAGCTTGTTCTCGTGGATTCTTAACAATAATCTTTAAATAATGGTTGCGTTACATTATTTTAATTTACTTGTAGAAAAAGTATTGTATGCGATCATTACATAATGAGGTCTTAAAATCTCGCTAACCCTAAAACTAAACTACTAAAGTAACAACTGTAAAGGGGGATTGTGACGGACTACGCGAGGTCTATACCCAGAAGTGGGTGAAATCGAGCTATGGATGATAATGATTTAATAAATGTTTATTTCATTGATATTCAATTATTTTTATTTACAAATTTAAATACAATGAATAGCGACCACTCTAGCCGGGGCTGGTAGCTGTAAAGGTATCTAACTGGGTGACGAAATATCGTAGATTTATAATAGATGGCGCTACAGCTAAAAAGTCGTTGTAAAAACCAAATACAAAGATACGACGCAAGCACATAGAAAAACTCGTGAGGTCCGCTGGTTCGTTCCGTAGCTTAGTTGGTATAGCGTCGGGTAGACGTCGGTTCGAATCCGGCCGGATCGAAGAAATTTTTTCTGAGTGTCCGATCTTTGTATTAATAATTAATGATGTAATGTTTTCTTAAAATTCCAGTATCCACGGATCTTGAAGGCAAGAACGCATGGAAAGAATGCCTTCGCGTTTCCAATGTGTTGCTACCGACAGGCTACTTCTTCGGTGCGTCAGCTACCACCGGTGATCTGAGTGACAACCATGATATTATTGCTATCAAGATGTATGAGCTGGACCTGCTTGACACTGTAAGTTACCTTTGCTGCATTTCTGCGTCTATTTAGATATATGTCTCCAGTACAGATTCAGCTTCTTTATGATTTTATTGTATGTTATGGTACATGTAATCAACGCCTGAACAAGAGCAATAACCTTGGCAAAAATGTTATAAGTGCCATCTGTTGGCCTTTTGGAATATTATTACAATCGCATCGCGGGTTTACTTGGCACCATCTATTGGCCTACTATACTAGTATTATATTATCTATGGTATACATCATGACAACACAAAAACTATTTGTTGTATGTATATTGTATATTATTATATAAAAACTGATTTGATTTGACGGGCGTGGTAAACAGTGCCCCTTAGATTTTTACAATTTAAAGCTTTGAGTGGCACTGCAACGTTAAATATAAAAAAAATAAAAGTTCCAACTCAGCATTGGACAACATAGGATTGGTCATCCAAACCTGTCTGCAACCATTTTTAGGATGCCATTGGGACTACTTCTGTCACGAGACATAACCGATACTATTTATTTTCGCATTATCGCTTGGAAACTATATATGCGCTTCTGCGAAAATACTTGACGCACTGCACACCCAACAGCATCCTGAAAGCGTTATTTTGTTGTACACGCCGGGTGGTATAATTCTGTGGGTCTAATGAAAAGGGGTACGAAAAAGCCGACTTTACAAGAAAACGCGAAAACACTTGATTTTTTGTCACCTCAACTAAAGTTGGCTTTTTTTATTTCTACCCCTTTTCACTACAGCCACAGAATTAAGTATACGTTTCATATACTTAATTATGCACGGCACACTGCCACTGCTCCCGTCACCCTGAAACATAAAGCTGGCAAGTCCCTTGTGCCTGTTTTTTCATCAGCACTGTTAGAGAGTTTGCGCAAGTACCTCCGATTCGTATCAATTCTGAATCCGAGAAATGACGGTCCGAAATGTCACAGTGATCATTTTATCTTTTTTTATAATATTAAGTGACGGGACGAACAAGTCGTGCGCCTTATGGTAAGCTACACGCCTGTCCATAACAGTTACATCTGATGGGCACTTCCACTGCGCCCGTCACCCTGTGACATAAGTGGACAAGTCCTATGTGCCTGTAATTTCACCAGCACCCTTACCCTTCTAAACCGGAACACAGAAATGGTGACGTTACTCCATTCGGTGATATTAGTTTAGTATTCCCTCTAATGAAAAATCCCAAACAGACATAAGACTGCAGTACTAATTAATATGTTTTAGTTTATTCTAATTTCTATTATTAATTAATAATAAATTGAACTTAATAAAAATTCATTCAATAAAATAATTTGTAAAACTTAATGTAGCGTAAATTGGAATGTTTTCTTTGTAAAATTAAAAATAAGGTATTTAATTAATAACTATTGTAACTATAGTGAAAAGAAATAGGGTGGTTTGCATCAATATTAGACATAACTAGTTGAAGACTGCACCACCTCAGTCAGCTGTGATCATGGGACCTGTAAAGGACCCGAAACGTCGGTTTGTTTGAAAAAACAAATATACACGATTTGAATCCGAAAAATAGTTTCATTTTCTATGGTGACATTACTGCTTGGCGGCAGAAGTAGGTACGGTGGCAGTACTTCCCTGGACGAACTCTTTCGCAAGAACCTCTACTGCTACTGAAATCTCTAGGTGTACAAGCGATATCCGTTTTCTCTCGAATTTGAATCGGGCTAAGTGTACAAGCGACCTCCGAAGGGGGTCCGAACGTTCTAGATTTTTATAGTTTCGGAACTAATACGAATCAGATGCTTTTAACTGCCTCCGTGGCCGAACGGCTACCATGCCGGACTGCCACGCAGAGGTCCCAGTTTCGATTCCCGGGCAGGAAGAAATATTTGTATGGCGTATGTTTATTTCTCTCGTGAGTTTGGGTTGTCTATGTGCGTGTCCATGGCACCCGCGACACAGGGTTTCCGTAGTGCTGGACTATGTTGAGTGTGTCCATTATTATTATTATTATTAATAATAATAGATGCAGGGCGCATACGCGCTTTTACTTGAAAACCGGAACGCAGTAATGCTCACATAAAGCAGTCTTCCATTACCGAATTCTTTCGTAAGGAGCACTACTCTGCCCTCCTTATCATAACTGACATAACCATTTTAGTCTTATGAAACAAAATTCAAAAACAATAATTATCTTTCACAGCAGGACAAGAACGAGGACAGATCCAACATAATACCTTCAGCTGCTTCCTTCGAAGCACCACGGGAAAGGGTAGAAGACCCGAAACCAGCCATGTCCGGAGTGAAAACCTTCCTATGGATGATGTTCTACGCCCTCGTCATCATAGTATTAGTTGTACTAGGTATCTGGTGGTACCAAAAACGACAGGAAAATTCAAGAAAACGCCTTTATTAATTATACGTCGTATATATTCTCGTAAAAGGTGTACTTTGCGTTGTACTATTGAATTTTATCACGGCTGTAGAAATTAATCGGTGATAATCTCACCGTCAGTAATAAAGTGACCTAAGTTATTAAGTATTTTTTTTGCAAACAGACGAGTTAGACATAAAACAACATACATTGCACCAGGCAAATGATATATTTGCCTAAACAAGATATTACACTTCGGAAAAACCTGTGCACATGTATGACATGTAAAGAGTGTGTGTGTCTGTGACATGTAATATTCTACTTGTATACTTTCGTCGGTTATCATATTCGGTCATTCAGTACACAGCAGCATTCTGAAACTGGCTTTTCAAATCAAAAGGGACAGATGGAGTTAATTTTATTCTACAGCCGGTGGTAAAACTCATGAGTGCAAGTAAAAATACGTCAATTAAAATAGAAGTGACTAGTGATGGTATGTCGTACCCTAGTCCTGGAATGTTTGAAGACTGATTCCATAAATTTATAACATTGTATAGGTTTTTCTTTCAAATTTAAAGTAGACTTATACTCCCGTGACACGTGTGGATACCGGGTATATAAATTGGCTCGTTTTAGTCCCTTGCTATATAAAATATCGACTCATCCGAAGAACAGAGTCCGATGTGATTATATAGTGAAAAGAGAATAGGTACACTACGAGAATAATTTCGTTATTCAAACTAAGGCCCATTTAAAGTTGTTTTGAGAATTTATACACCTTATTTCGTTTCGGAAATATAAAATCAAACAACAGTCGATCTGACATCCACAGCGAAGAAGAACGAACGCAATATACTATATCCTGAGAAGTAGTCTTGCACATAGATCTTTGTTCTACGGATGAGTCGATATACTAAAATACACCCCTCATGGCATAAGTGAAGTTACGTCAAAAATGTTTATTGCTCCATTGGATACAGAAAAATATAAAAAATATATAAGTTAGTTCTTGTAACTCTGTCGACTAATATTGTCGATAGACTTACAAGAATTGGAGAAGATGTGGGTTATATTTTTCTCTATTTCTTTTCATTTTTATTTACAACACCCGAATCGAATGTCAAGATGTCGTATCCGAAACCGAACCGAAATGACGTCACACCCGTACGATTACTCGAACTTCTCGACCGGCGAAGGCTACAAACGTTATTCAGATCACAGTTATCGAATGAAAATGTAAAATGTAAAAAGTTACTGAACATACTATAATTTAAAGGCAAGAATGCAATATGGAAATCTCTTATTATTTAAAATAAAGTTTGCATTATTTATGCCTTTAAAGCATTGACTTACAAATAAATGGACGACGGGTCTAACACAAAAACCACGAAAAAAATGTCCCAAGTCAACCTATTTAAACGTAGTGACATGTAAAGGAATATGAAAAATCTAAAACGTTGAATTTAAATTGTAATGTCATCGCAGTACTGTCTAATTTTGCTTGCTTCGCTGTCAGTCGAACAAACGAAGACTAGAGCGTGAATGACGCTCTGTATACGATCCCTATAAGTTCGGACACTTTTTCGCGCGGACCCGACGTCCGTATAATTGTAAGTCAATGCTTTAAAGTCTTAAAAATGTATATAAAAGGATTTTCATTTTTCTTATAATTTATTTCACCGACTAACTCCGTAAACGCTTTTGGATAACGATATCGTATCCGAATTGAACGGAATGTTCGGAATAGCTCGGAAAGCGCCCTTCGATTGGAGAACGATGTCCTATCGAAAGATTCGGTTAAAATATCGAAGAGTTCTGAATCGGGGTCCAGGTCTGGTACATTGTTATTCTAAGTATAAAATTACTTTGATGTAACGGGAAGGAAGCACGACGAGGGTACAAAGTCAAACTAATATTTGTGCTACCAAAGGCACTTTGATTCTAAAATTCTGGCTCTATTTTAGCTTGCGTTTTGCGGCCAAATTCTGCGCAATATTTTGTGCGTGCCTAGAAATTAAGGATATATATATAGCTTATGCGTTTTCTGTATGTGCGTATAATGTTTGTGTTACGTTCAAATAAATTATTAAATAAGTATATTATTGTGTTAATTTTTTTGTTAAAATATAATGATTCTGGACATCAAACGACATACTATTTTTGGTCACTTAAAATTTGTGCTATGAATTCGGAGAAATTAAAAATTGTTTTTTTTTTCGAAATAAATTTGTTTTACGCTCTCGAACTGATAAATTTACATTGCCGCAGTACCGCATGTAAGTAAATTTTGTAACCATAGCATAATGAACCTTATTTTAATTGCGGAACATGCAAACTAGATATTAGCCAAAAAAAAAGGCCGCGCATCTTCCCCAGAATTTTCGTGCACTCTCAGAAATTCCCGCAGTTACCATATCGTATCCAGTTTGTACGTTACAAAATTGAATTAAAGTTAAATGTCCTGTATTCATTACGTCCTGCGGCAATGCAAATAGAGCCTTACGTTTTCTGATATCGTTTGTAATATAATTTATACTAAAGGGAGTAACTATAGTCCATCTTTTTTGAAGACTGAGTAAACATTTGCGGGGTTGCCACTTTTCATAAAGTTTTAAATAGTCATGTAGTTGTTGTCGACAGTTTTATCGATAGATCTTGAAAGAAGGTAAAATTTTGTCAAAAATTATGAACGTTACGACGTTCTAATGATTATTAATTTTGTTATTGCCTTTCTTTATTTTGACAGTTGGACCACTATCAAAATCAATTTTTAATTATATACATTTGATGGCTGCTTCCGTGGCCGAACGGTTACCATGCCGGACTGCCACGCAGAGGTCCCAGGTTCGGTTCCCGGGCCGGGAGAACTATTTGTATGGCCTACATTTATTTCTCTCGTGAGTTTGGGTATAATTTGTGATTGTCTATGTGTGTGTCCATGGCACCCGCGACACAGGGTTTTCCTAGTGCTGGGCTATGTTGAGTGTGATGCGTTACATTTTAATAAGGAGAGACGGATTTAATCGTCTATATTGAATTAAAATGAAAAACTTTGAAATATGTCTCCCCTTTGCATTTTTAACAGACGTAGTTCTAAATGTAGTATACGTATGTGTGAACTTACAAAAATTGACCATTCAAAGGAACTTCTGCCCAGTAGTTGCCGATGCCATGAATGCCGATTGAAATTAAGTGCAGCTATTTATTTTCCGCCATTTAGTCTACAGTCGATAGAATATTTATTGATTGCAATCCCTGCGTACAGGCGGGCAACACTTGCGCATTGAACAGTCATTTTACTTCATCTCCAAAAAAGACGGATTATAATAATTTCGACAAAAATGAATTCTGTATATCAAAATGAAATTCAAAATCGATCTACGACAGAATATTTTATTTAAGTCGATTCGTCACGTATATCACGTACTCATGTAATGCAAATGCACCTATAAAAGGCATTAACAGTAATGATTAAGGCATTGGTTTTGTACTTCAATACTCGATTGAAAAGATTTGTACCTCTTTAAAAGTCGAAAAGAAATACAATAAAACATATCATCGCACTCCCTCTCACCTGCTTAGTGACGTTACGCACGTCACGCTCGTTATCGATAAAACAAATCGGTGCGGTACCTTTTGAGTAATTTCTTATCGGCTATTGTCCAAATGTTGCAACCTCTCTTATACCTTTCTTATTACCATTCCCTGTTTGAACGCTGACCCTGTCTCAATGGATACTTTTGTTCAATATCATATTTCAACTATCGGTACTAATTTTACGGCTCAAGCACGTATTGTTATCAATAATATGCTGCATAAATTAGTTTTTATTTCCATTCCCACTTTCACTGTTATAACGAAATTGAACATCATGTATATCGATAGCATTTATCAACTGCAGTAATGCACGACCCTGCGCTTTAACAAAAGGCCAGTAACTGCTCTTAAGTGGGAGAGAGAGCGCAATTTCGCTGTCCCGCTCCTATAATTTATGTTAGCGTCTGCAGCGTGTAAATAATCTTTGTATACAAGTTAATTTTGTCACTTAAAAAATATATTACACATAAATTGATTTACTTCCATCTTTATTAACTTTGATTTCCTGAAAATAACGTCTGAATGTATTAATTTATTTATACATAATGTTTTAGTACCATGTTAACTTACGCTGCCAACTTATCCAATAATGATTGTAGGAATTCGTAGCTATATGCCACTTTGGTAACGGTAAATGTATGACTTGACAGTTTCAAACGGGCCCGTTTTCAGTTTATGCATTTCGAGAGTAGTTCCGTGGATAATTCAAATAAAACTGCCGTAAGTATGGAATTCGTGTTTCGTGTTCCATTTTTTATTTATTAAGACTTATACAGAAAATACAAAATTTTGTTGTGCATGGCATGGCAACACCGAACTTTTCATTGGTTAAAATAATAACATGTCAACGTTGGGATGGTTTACTATTTATTAATATATATAGTAAACCATCAATTATAATATATGTCAATTTTGAGCGGCAAACACGTCTCAGTTTTTTCAATCTTCCTGACGAATTCGATGCTTTTGAGATAGGACACTAATTTCGAAAGCCACCGATATTTAGATTTTTGTAAAATAAAGAATGTAAATTAGTTTAACAAAAACTCCATAATGTAATTTCGAAACAGGATTTTGTGTAAATTTTTAAAAATATACGGTACCTAATAAGGTTCTATGACGCGTTTTGTTGCCCCTTAACACTTAAGGGTCGGGTCAAGATTTCTTTCTAAAAGCTCCCTAAATACATATAAGTGTTTATTAATGTTTGCAACCCTTTGATGAAATATAAGTAAGGCCTTTTTTATGCACGGTAGTGTGCAGGCCGCATATAGTACCACTCACCTTACAGAGTTATTTTTAAAATACTAACAACCTCACAGAACTACATTACTAACATCTTAGACAACTTGTCGTTTGTCTGTTGTAATTTTTCTCCGATTGCGAAAAAGGCCTTGATTATTCTCTACATTTTTCTATAATTTGTTTTTCAATATGATAAGTTGTTATGGTGTTATTAGAACGTAAAGTCATTAGATTTATGTATAATTTGTTTCTACATATTAAATAGTTTTATATTATGTAAAGTTTTTATCTTTGTCAGTAAAACGAAAACATAATAATTATTTTGATATATCTAGGAGCTTAGAATAATTACGCATAGAAACCTAGTCCGCACACGCTAAGTGAGGCAAATTGAAGCGCTCCCAATGGGCCTACACGAGCTGGCGGGCCGTCAGTGCTCAAGGTCAACTTGCACCGCGAACAGCTCAAGAATTTTAGGTAAAAATGACGAAATGTGAGGTAAATGAGTATAAAAATACGTCAGACAAACATAAAATAGATACTAACATCACATTCCACAAGGAAGTAACGCGTTTTCACTTGTATTTTTATATAAATATTCACTAAAACCGAAACTTAACCTACTACTAAAACTAGCCTACATGAATTTGATTTTTGCCTCACTTGTGACAGTTCCTTTGATATGAAACTATCATTCTATGCGTTATTATTCTAAGTCTAGGAGGTTGTTTAGGTTCCCAAAATGTTTCTTTAGGCTCAATTTATATTGCGGCGGAAAGGTATGGAAGCGAATCTCGCGCTTGCTCGAGAATGCTCGCGCATTCCGCGGTAGATTTTGGCGCGTATCTAGTTTGTACGTTACATTATTGACCATAATGTTCATTATGCTATGTACAGTATCGTTATTCGTTATCGTTATTTCGTTTTGCGTTCCGCCGCAATATATAATGAGCCTTAGAATACGGCTTTTACATTATGCAAGGTCTAATAATAATATAACTTGTATACAAGTTAATTGAAACTCACCTAGCGAAGTTTTCTTGGCTTCCACTCAAATTACACATCTACGAACTGACTTACTTGGCTTCCTTATCTGTTTGATGTTTGAAATTAGCTTAAAAACAATGTGGCGAAGCAGACACTTGGAATTTCGATATGTGATCGATGTGTATGGGAAAAATAATCAGTACTAATATTTTTTATCCTTCAGGACAGGCTAAGGCCAACTCGTAAATTGTAATTTTTTTGTTTGTTCCAATTGTTCCATTTTCTGACATTGTTTTCGGGAAATCGTTATATATTTTCGGTGGCCGTTTTGAAATTCTCGAAAAGTATTCATTTGTAAAATATTTGCGCGCGTAAACCTGTACTATTCAAAAAAAAAAACTATGAAATAAGAATAATGATAAAGACTGCTACGCTTTGGTGGAATCTACATTCTCTCTAGTATTTCCACTAATCACTCGTTGCTTTTAATTCACTATTGACGTACACGCGTGGAAAGAAATTTCTGACGACTTTAAAAGAAAAAAAAACTGTTAAAATTATTTTTAAATCAGTGCTGTGAATTATATTAACTGTATGATTTAAAAAAGACATAGTCTAAATAAATTGATTCGTGGAACACAACAGCTTTTAATTGGTATAGGTAGATATTGCATAATGAAAGCTAATTATTCTCTGTAAGAACAATTTATTTTTTTCTTTGATTAAAAATTACTCGCATTACTAGTGCTAGATGATGTAAGAAGGTGTAAGTAGAATAAGTAATATGTTGAACATGTGTTTATATGAGCCTTGCGTGGGCAAATGGCGATTTTAAAAATTTCAAAGAAATAAGGGTTGTCACATAGTAGTCGAAGGTTAGTTTTCTGTTAATTAAATTGTCTTGTATTATTTAAAGGGTCCAACCCTGGGCTGGGTTTTCTTGAGTTTAAATATTAAAAGTTGCTTATTAAAATAAATATTTCTTTTGTTAAGTGTGCTGCGGCCCTAATTGCTCATGTGTCCACGCATGTGTAGTGTGTGTGTTGTATGTATTTATAATTGTGTGTTTTTATCGAATAAAGGTGATATTATTCAATAATTAATTGAACTTTTACTTCTTGGGAGCGGTTAGTCCAGGTTGCCTAATATATAATCTACAATAATTTGTCTACCTTTCCAGCTCTAAATCACAGTCGACTTCATTGGCACAACGGATTGCACTGTAGGAGCTGGGTGAGGTCTCGGGTTCGATCCCTTCAGGACCAATTTGGAAAATGAACTTTGCTAAATTACTTCTAGCAAGTGTTCAACAATAATCATTCTAATGTAATTAAAACAATAATTTAAAAAAATATGTAAAATGTGAAACAGTAATACGTTTTTAACAAGGCAGGCTCTTTGTCCCTTTAGACGGCAAAAAGGTATAATGAAATTTGGGATTTGAGTAGATTGGTGAAAGCAGCTAATAAAAATCGTCTAATTTTTATTTAAAAAATCTAAGTAACATGGTAAAAGATTATGCCAGTCAGCTTGTAGGGTTTTACGGAGTTGATGAACTTGAAATTGATCGATGCCTACCTCGACGGGAAAACAGCGTAAAGTGCCATGTCCGTTACACTCTACGTATAAATGGGCTTAGATCATCTACAGGGCGACGAACCAAGAAGCGACACACAACGTCGCGTTCCCAGTAAGTCCACTATTTTTGAAAGTCCACTTTTTCAGCGTAAAATGTGCATTACCCATAGATTTAGTATATTGTTGGAATCTATTGGAGAACATATTCTTCAACTACAACGTTAAGTTTGTACGGAAACCTCTCCGAGCGTGTTCAACTCGCACCTGGCCGGTGTTTTGGTGCTATTACTTATCTGCAAATTCACGGATGTGTTGCACTTCTATGTCAACATATCATACAATCATTATTATAGTTATATTTGTTTGTAGGTTGCGGTCGTCAGCTTAGTTCGTGGCCACCATACTATCGCGCTGTAACTGATCATGGGTCTTATCACCGTTTTGTAGAGCCATAGTGTTATCTTGGGTGAAAGTCCCCATTATTTACCTACCATCCTATGGCACTGGCAGAAGGTGATAGTAGCTTTCTTAATTTTGTATTGAATCATTAATTAATTAGTTAATTAACGTCTCGGAGTTTTGCGATAAGACATTTTGGAGAATACGACGAAGTGAAATGCCGGTGTATTATGTTAATCGATATTAAATCAGTGGATGGTGCAACACTATTTATCTTGCACACATGCACATTATACGCACACAGATGTATTTTTGTTTTAGTCTCGTCTCCAATACTTCAGGGCCAATCTATTAGAGCATCACCTGTTAATAACCTCATCTGTCCACTGCTTAGACTATTTTTATTTCCATCCTCTAAGGTCCACTACAATATTTACAGACGTCAAATTTATAAATTCGAAAAACTCACGTCCACTTTTATTGTAGGTCAATGCGTCCACTGGTCCTATATGTATAGGTACTCAAAAAAGTCTCACATTTCATGTACGTGGTCTTAGACTTTCTATCCTCTAAGATGTGGGTACAGAACGTAAGAATGATGCGTGAAAGGGAAAAGGATAGCAGCATAGATTTAGTATATAGGTATACTAAATCTGGATGGCAGGTAATGGGAGAAACAGAAAAAGGAGATGAGTAGGAGACGCGTGCAAAAAATTGTTAACTTTTTGAAATTCAATAAAAGGCGAATTAGTATATTAAAATTACATTTTATTTCAAATCTAAGCACTGCTAACTATCCCACATGTACCAAATACATTTTTTTTGGAAGGTTTTTCCCTCTCTTGTAAATTTTTAAAAGGTTTTTGGAATGGAAGCAAGTTGCAGAAAAGATTAAATTTAATGGCATAATCATGGCATAATGTTGTTCTTTACTTTATCCCAAAGCATAACTTGAGTCAGCAGGATACATAAAGAGAATGCCATAAAGCCATAAATACTGGCTGCTTTTCCGCAGTATGTCAAACGAAATTTAAACTTTGAAAGGTCTTTCAAACATTTGACGTGTGAAAAAATCAAGTATTCGATTAGTGTATTTGCAATTTTCTCAAGTGTTTCATAATACAGAAAAGTTATGGCAAACGAAGCAGAAGAAACGATACGTCGTCTGGCTGCACATAAAGGCGTTGCTGGCGTAATTATTGTCAACGGAGAAGGCATACCGATTAAAACAACTCTGGATAATCACGTTTCTGTACAATATGCGGGGTTAATGTCTTCTTTAGTTGACAAAGCCCGAGCCGTAGTAAGGGACTTGGACCCAACAAACGATTTAACATTTTTGAGAATTAGAAGCAAGAAGAGCGAAGTAATGATAGCGCCGGATAGAGAATTTATATTGATCGTTGTTCAAAACCCAGTCGAATGACGAAGGTTTATGGCGTTTTGGGCCATTTTTTATACGGACTTTAATAGTGTTAATTAGTGATGTAGATTTGATTTTTATTGTCGGTTGTGGATAGACAATTTGGCGAAGTTGTTGGCTTTCTACGCTCTTAATTCTCAGCAAATCCAACATTGGATGATAGACGACACTCCACTGCTCTCTAGGCGCCATGATTCCCACTAGTTCTGTTGACAGAACTACTGGTATTTTTTTGTTCGGTTAATAAATAGACAGTTTTCTTCAGAGAACTACTGAGAATTTTTTACCCTACTAGTTCTGTTAACAGAAGTAGTGGTATTTTTCTTCCCGTTCCTAGGGCACTACTCTTGAAGCAGAAAATCCGTAGATGCTGCCGTTTTCACGCTCGGACCGAGCCCACTCGGATGCTACTCCTAACATGTAAACACGTGACTCGGACGCGGTTCTATTTTTCTGAGTATACTCAGATAATTTTGTGAAAACAAAATGGCGCCAAAAAAAGTTGAATGAGCGTGACTTTAAGAGGTTATAAACGTGTTTTTAACTTTACCACTTCTCGAATTAAATTATTTGAAGCTTACGTGGTCACGTCTTATCCAAATATAATATTTCTGATCCAAACTTTTTTCGTGCTTTGTTTTTTTCCTTGCTTGATTTTTGTACTTAAACAGCAGCCTTAACTCGCAGCAGCAGATAAGTCGTCATGTTGATTGTGTAAGGAGACAAATGCTAGGACGATGACCACGTAAGGTGTGAACCAAAATCCGAGTGGACTCCCATACGACCTAACTCGTATGAGCGCAATCGGTCCGAGAGCACACTGAAAACCCGGCTAAAAATGGGTCTGCTTGAAACAGTCAAATTACCGCTTCTTGCCCGTCGACCACCTGACTGGTACACCTCGATGGACCACGGGCAATTATTTCTCCCCGTAGTTCACCTATGTCCACCTGGGTGGTCCATGGGCATTTAATTCTTCCCGTATTTCACCTATGTTCGCCTAGGGATTTTTTATTCTCACCTCGCGTTGTCATACATTTTTAGTTCCAGCCCCGGTCGAAACTCAAGTAGATCATCCATAGTCACGTTAACGACTATTTTTTTATTTCCCTCAGAGCGGGAAGCCCGTAAATTTGCTATTGTTTTGAAAATAATCCTTATTATAGTTACGAAATGTTTAATGATAAAAAAAGAAAAATGTAAACAAAGAACTAATCTTGTGTAGCCTGGTGTTCGATGTCTGGTTGGCTGGCTTCATATTTTTAACGTGTGTTCTGTTTTATGAAAGCCGGACACTTAAGTATTTTGGTGATGGCGGGACACAAAGCCTAAAAGTGGGACGTATGGTCACGTTGTCCATAGTGGGAAAACTGCCGTTACTACGGATTTCGTGCTTTGAGAGTATGGCCCCTGGTTTATTATTTCAAAACTGGAGATAGTGAAATACTAGTTTTGTTTTCCTAAATGTGATTTGTTGGAAATGATTTTTTCATATCTAAAATTGTGCATTTAACCTGATCTAGCCGTGACCACGCGGCACCTGTAGAGTCCGAGAAATAAAACACCTTTTAGATACGAAAAAAATAAGTGTATGAAAACTTAAAAATTCGATATTTTTTAGGTTAATTTGAATATATTTCATTTTGAAATTGTTTCATTAAATATTTTTAATTAGGGTACTTGGTTGTTCGTTTATTAAAACAAATATATTCTCATTCATCTTTTAATAACTTAAAACACTAAATAGATTAATACATATAGTAGATTCAAAATTAGAATTAAGAATATTTTATTGGGAATGCTAAAAAAACATATTTAATCCAGATATCTAGAACATTCCACGGCCAGATCTCCATCCTCTGTTACCGCCTCTAAACCCACCTCTATTTCCGAACCCGCCCCTGTTTCCAAATGCACCCCAATTTCCTCTAAACCCACCCCTATTTCCAAAGTTACCCCCATTTCCCCCACCCCTATTTCCAAAGTTACCCCCATTTCCGTAACCACCTCCATTGCCGAAACCACCTCTCATTCCGAACCCGTTTCCTTGGTTGCCACCAAAACCACCACGGTTACCACCGAAACCTGAAAAAAAAAAACAAAAAGCTACACAAAACAATCACACTACTGCAATCATAGATTTAGTATATAGGTACTAAATCTATAACTACAATCATATAACGCAGTCTAGCATAATTTAGATAGAAATTGAGAATATGAAATAATAACGTTTACAAGAAATTAGTTTAATAAAAGTTAAAAAAAAGTTTCTGAAAGGGATGGACCCTCAGCACTATTATGCTGCTTTTCAGGTTCCACCTTGATACATGGGCATTCGCTGCATTCGCCAGTAATTACAAGACTTCACAGCAATTAGCAGTTTCAATATATGAACCATGCTTAAAATTTATTTACTACTGTGATGAGCATAGGGACGTATGTTACAAGTAAAAGAAGAGGAAATAACGAGCAGAAACGGCACTGGAACAGGCTTTACTTTGTTATACCCGTGCATAACCAAATGATCTGCCTCGGTGGCCGAACGGTTACCATGCCGGAATGCCACACAGGATTCCAGGTTCAATTCCCGGGCCGGAAGAAATATTTGTATGGCCTACTTTTTTTCTCTCGTGAGTTTGGGTGTAATTTGTGGTTGTCTATGTGTGTGTCCATGGCACCCGCGACGTGATGGCACAGTGTTTCCGTAGTGCGGGGCTATGTTAAGTGTGTGCGTTATTATTATTATTATCTAAATAAATAATATTTAGATAAAGTAGTAAACGAATTAACCTCGACTTAGCAACACTGCCTGTAAGATTTTTAGATTTTGTGACAGAGAGAGAGAGAACAACTTAAAAGGTGTAACAATGAACAAATTTTTCGAGGTTAAGCTTAAAAAAATTACAAGAACATAAAATCAACCTACAAGTTTCTAATAGCGACATATCTAGCCAGGACTGGCAGCTACCAATAACTTTACAGCTTAAAGTTACCTAACTGGGTGACGAGATACTCATAGATGTTGCTACGGCTAAAAAGTCGTTGAAAACCAAATACAAAGATCCGAGAGCAGGCACATACGAAAATTCGTGAGGTCCGCTGGTTCGTTCCGCGGCTTAGTTGGCGTAGCATCTGACACGGTTTGCTAGAAGACGTCGGTTCGAATCCAGCCGGATCGAAGGAAATTTTTTTAAGTGTTCGATCTTTGTATTAATAATTATAAATAGTGGAGTAATTTCACAAAAAATAATTGAATATCAATTCAATATAAATTTAATTAAAAAATTGTCAACTACTACTACAACTATAACAACTGCTGTTGTCCCAAATAAATAAATAAACTATCTTTGTTTTCCTTTTTATTTTAAGTTTCATACATCTTTTTAGAAAACCGACCAGACTTGAAAAAGGATTATATTATTTTCTAGAGTTCCCTAAATGTGACGGTGTGTGTATACCTTTATTTTATATGTAAGCAAATTACAGGAACTCATTTATTAAATTCTACTACTACATCCGCCAAAAGGCCTGCACCGCTTAGTATTTATGTTAACTGCCTCCGTGGCCGAATGGTTACCATGCCGGACTGCCACGCAGAGGTCCCAGGTTCGATTCCCGGGCCGGGAGAAATGTTTGTATGGCTTACATTTATTCTCGTGACTTTGGGTGTAATTTGTGGTTGTCTATGTGTGTGTCCATGGCACCCGCGACACAGGGTTTCCCTAGTGCGGGGCTATGTGAGTGTGTGCGTTATTTATTTATTTATTCATTCATTTATTCATTCATTCATTCATTCGTTCACTTATTTATTTATTTTCGAACCATGTTACAGTTACTAATCATGATCACAAGTATGCCACAGGTTCAACAACAAACTCCTCACAGACTTGGAAGTTAATTGCAGTAGGTCTCCTTGTGAAAGAGTTCGTCCAGGGAAGTATTGCTACCTTACCTATTTCTGCCGCCAAGCTGCAATGTGACCATTAATAATAATAATAATCTTTATTTCTCTCTTACAAAGTTATCCCATAAATAAGTAATTAACATTATGGACTTATTATTAATATATCTTTGTAAGAGACTGGAGTCCATACTAGGATTTGACCTGTGTTACGGATCTCCAGGCACCCACCAACCGGACTTCGCACTGTATTCTACATAATATGAGAGCGTTACCATGTTCTAAATTACAGAGAGCGGGTTTTATAACTGATTATTTTAATAATATAACAAAGTAATGGAATAAAACAAAATTGTGTGTGTGTGTGTGTTTTGTGCGTGTGAGTGTCATTACTGCGGTTTTGAAAGGTAAGGTTGAAATGACAGGCATTTGGGGCTTTTCAACTTATGTCTCAGGCTGACGGGCGCAGCGACAGGGCCCCTCAGATCTTTTCGATTTAAAGCTTTGAGCGGCACTGTAGACAGTCGTGTCGCTTACCACCAGGCGCACGACTTGTTCGTCCCACCACTTGGTCTCAAAAAAAGTCCACAATCCGCGTTGGGTCAGCGTGGTGGACTACAGACTAAACTCTATGCTTATTAGATTTCCTTCGATCCGGTTGTATTCGAACCGACGTCTTCTAGCAAAATAATAATGTACAATATGTGCTTAGGGTAGGTAACGACTGTTTTAAAATAATTACGTCCTGTTTTAAAATTCAATTTTGGTTTTAATTAAGTTTAAGTTTTAAAACCTTGAAACATGCAAAATATTTTTCGAATGGCGCTTTCGCCCTTTCTACAAAACAGCTTTTGAAGAATAGTGACCCAAACTAAAATAGCTCGTTATTTGAGTCAATACATTGCTGTATTCAGAAAGTACTCAATATCGAACTTTTCATTGGTTAAAATAATCAGTAGAGCTCCTTGTGAAAGAGGTCGTCCAATGAAGTACTGCCACCTGGCCTATTTCTCCCACGAAGCAGTAATATGAGCATTACTGCGTTCCGGTTTCCAAGGTGCAATGGTCGATTTAAAGCTCGGAGTTGCAATGCAACTGTTAGGGACAGGCGTGTCGCTTACCACAAGCCACACGGCTTGTTCGTCCCGTTATTAAGCATTATAAAAATATTGGGCCGGTATACTATTCGTGCCAGCTTCCATTAGCAACACGGGCTAAGCCTCCAGGAGTTTATGAGACAAGCCGCTATTCTAGTAAAGTACACCGAATTCAAAATAGTATTGACCTTGACTCCCGTATCCTCCCCCACCTCTGGGTCCACTAGTCCCCCAGCCTCTGGTATTATTAGCCCCGCGCTTGGGCCCGTCGGAGTGGAAGGCGGGTGCGCTGACGTCGCGCGTGATGTTAAAGTCGCCGGCCTCTATGGTGCATAGAGCCCTTATAACGTCTACCAACTGAAAGAGAAAAAAGCTGTTATCTCTCTTTGATATACTACACAAACATAACAAACTACTTCCTAATATTTTTTTTATTTATTTCATATAAATAAGGCTTACAAGAAAACATTAATAAAATTTCTCACCAAACTGCGAAAGCAATTTGTTGGCGAGATTACTATCACAAAACTATATAGTATACCTAGTACGAGTACATTTATCATAACCAGTCATTGACTTACAATTATATGGACGCCGGGTCCGCGCTAAAAAGTGTCCGAACTTATAGGGCGTTAAAATCGTATACAGAGAGTCATTCACGCTTTAGTCTTCGTTTGTTCGACTGACAGCGAAGCAAGCAAAATTAGACAGTACTGCGATGACATTACAATTTAAATTCAACGTTTTAGCTTTTTCATATTCCTTTACATGTCATTACGTTTAAATAGGTTGACTTGGGACATTGTTTTCGTGGTTTTTGTATTAGACCCGTCGTCCATTTATTTGTAAGGCAATGTAACCAGTATAGAATTTAACTAAATTGACATGCTTTCAAGAAGTATTAATTTTATTTTTTTCTTCACAGTGAATTTACTTAACAATTCTCAGCCTCTCAAAACATCTAATTTATTAAATATAATTCGCAAGAAATGTATTTGTTATTTTACCATAACAATTATTTACTTTTGGATATACATATTTATTTCCACGGGCTCAGTATTATACTTGTTCGTTGCGTTCATTTTAAATTAATTTATGGAGGATTATAGGAGTACAAGAGGTGTAAAGTCCCAAGTCGCGTGGCTACCGTTTTACATTAGTTATTTATGTTTTCATAAACAATTGTAACTTTCTGATGTAGAATGAATAAGTTTATCAGTTACTTCTTGGCAACACTGTACAAGTGGAGTGAGGTGAGAACGGTTATAAAAGCGACGACAAAATGGCGCACGCACGCATTTTACTTTTAGAAAGTTGTATATCAATATTTTCGACCCTTTGTGTGAAATGCAAAAATAATTAGATAAAATAATTATAGAGGTGATTTTATATTAGTTAATATCGTACTTAGGGAAAAAATATTTTCAATTGGGGAAAAAATACTGCAGTTCCCCAATTTTCACGTTTTTGAAGCAAGTAATTCTGTAATTTTAATTTAATGTGTAAGTAATTCAAGTAATTTTCTTGTAATTCCATTGAGACTCCACTGACATCACATTGCAATTATGATAATATTTGTTATTCTGCTATTATCTTGTTGTAATGGTAGTTGAGTCTCAGTGGAATGGCACTGACGCCGTTCATTCATTCAATCACGAACGATCGAGGTTGCCCATCGAGTATATAACCAGAAATAGAGACGAAATGTCATTTAATTTGTTTGAAGACTATATTGCCACATCATTACTGTGACAACTCCATTTCTGGTTATATTCTCGATGACTACACCATAGATGTGCGTAAATCGACTCATCACTGAAGAGCAGAATACCAAAAAATAATGGTAGTTGAATATTACCTACTCTTAACTTTTAGCAGAATACCAAACGTACAAAATCCTGCCATTGGCACTGTATCGACACACAACTGTGATGATTTAAGCTTAGCAGAATTGGGGCCCAGATCTGTTTCGTCCGTACCTTTTGTTCATTAGGCGAGAACTGCAGCGCTGTTTCGGGCTCGGCGGCAGCACGCTTGACGAGCCGCTCGATGGCGGGCCGCAGCGCTGCCACCATCGCCCCCGTGTACGGGGACATCTCGAAGTTCAGCCAGTTGTCTAGGCGGACCACGTTATCCACCTACAAAGTGCGGAATATATTTTTTATTACATTTAACACCACACTTTATATAATTCTAAAAACTTTATAATACAGTAGCACTTGAGCGCCTTATGAAAAAGTCCGTTCAGGGAAGTACTGCCATCTAACCTATTTCTGCCGCCAAGCAGTAATGTCAGCATTACTGGGTTCCGGTTTTGTTTTGTTACCAGTGCCCCTAGATCTTTTCGACTTAAAGCTCCGAGTGGCACTGCAACTGTTATGGACAGGCGTGTAGCATACTATCAAGCACACAGACAATCACAAATTACACCCAAACTCACGAGAGAAATAAATGTAGGCCATACAAATATTCTCCCGGCCCGAGAATCGAACCCGGGACCATGGAAAAGGACCATGAAAGGACTACGAAGGACTTAACTAATTCAATTTTTCAACTGCCTATAAGTAGCAGATGCACAGGCGCAATCGTAGCCAGCTAAGAGAGCGAATGCAAAACCTTCCCAATCCCGAATTTTGCAAAGTTAAGAGAGATACTTTATTTACCCATTCAACCTTCCTACTGGCGAACAGCAGTAGATGCAGAGGCGCAACCATTGTTGTTTGTTTGCAGCTGATAGCGCGAGTGCGAACTTTCTCGCCGAAGACGAATAGTGGTGATGGGAACTTTATTTCGAAGTTCGAACAGTTCACTGACGTCTTGTGAATTAGAGCTGGTTTACCTTCCGTTGTTAAGACCTGTTTTTTGGGGCAAATGAAACCAACATTAAAAAGAAAAACTATCGTTAAAATAAAATAAAAAACTGTCAACCAATAAAAGAGATATACTACTGTTGGGTAATTTTGCGAGATATTTCCAATAGTATAAATTTTTCAGGAAAAATTTCAGAAAAATTTAAAAAATATAATTCGAAGGGAATTAATGTATTCTACGTAAGATATATCTAAACATATCTTTAAAAGTTTTATTTAGCATGCATTACAAAATAAAATTGTTTATTAAAATTAATAATTATTAATAAATTTAATTAAAATTAATCTTCAATAATTAAATGTCGATAGGTGTCAACTGTCAAATGTGGAACAACAAGATTTCTCTGACGATATTCAAAACAAGTTTATTGAAAAAAGTGCCAAATGGCTTGTCTTTTCTTAATTATCAATTAAATAGTTTTTTCAATATCGGTTCGCATAACAACCAGTGACTAATTTGGTGGGCACTTTTTTCAATCAACTTGTTATTGAATGTCGTTTAAAATCTTGTTGAAATCGTCCCGTGTGCAATGTGATATAACTGTTACGTAAACTGCCTCTCCTCCCGCACCGCGCATCTACCTCAGGAATCGACTCGGTTAACTCGGTAGGCCTGTAGATTATAATCCTTGTAAGTTACCTTTCTCTTGCCTTGATGCAAGCAAAC